GGCAGGTCCCTCGCATTTTGTTATGCTCACCTCTCCTTTCTCATGCCAAACCAAATCGGTTTCTCCTGCCACAGAGGCACACTCTCCTTGCAAGCCCCTGCCTCCCTCTTGGGAAGCACCTTTCCCCCACCCCGGGGAGAGGAGGGCACACGCACGCAGGTCCCTCTCCTAGCCAGCCACCAGCACCAGCACCACCACCACCATCAGCAGCAGTCGCCTTGCCTGCCTCGCCTCCGCCTTGCTGTCCGCCTGCTTTTATCGCTGCCAGGACTTACGTGGAGCAGTTCCTAGTGGCGAGCATCCTATCTACAAGGGAAGTCCTGCCAATGAACTATTTTGTCTAAAGGCCTGAAAAAGAGCCTCTCAAAAGGCCATTTAAGCTGCGTTATCAAAAAGGCATTTGGCACCGCTCCCCCAGGCAGGAGTGCCACTGGCATTATTATTATTATTTTATTTTTATTATTTTTTTTTGTTCACGTTGTTTTGTTTTAAAGCAAAAACACAATTGCCCAACTTGAATGGGGCTGGGATGGAGGATGTGTCTGGGGCAGCCCTCCTCCACCCACACCCCTGTGGCGGGTGCAAGCCACCCCATTGAAAGGCCAGCAAGGGGGGGCCTCCCCAGCAGCCCCAGCCCCACGTGCCCCCAGCAGCCCTGATGTTATCTGCAAACCAAAAGCATTTAGGATATTATGCTGCTGACCAAACCCTTCCTTGCTCGTACAATGGGTAGCTTTGTGCTCAAAAGTGGCGTAAACACACAATGCAAGACACAAAATGGTGAAACAGGCGCCAGCCCTTCAGAGACAAAGTCCGCCTACCGTCCGTTATCCTTTGCTCCGAGGAATAAATCCTCAGGGCCCTTGACAAGCATGGCTGAAGTGCACGAACCAAGTCAGCCAAGAAGTGGGGGAGCCCTCCGAGGGTTCAAGGCGGTGGACCAATGGCCCAAAGGGCCACAAGAGCATCGCCGGCAAAATTGAAATGGGTTCCCCCGAGAGAACTCGCCCACTCCCTGGTGCAGCCACAGAACGCTTGCCGAGGACACACTGGCGAGGGCGGCAAAGGTGGGGGGGGAGAGAGAGACAGGCCCCAACCCTGAGACCCGGCACCCAGTTTGCCTGCCTTCTTCTTTAAGTAAATAAACCAGCAATAACTGGAATCCCAGTGGGCTCTTGGCCAGAAGAACGTACCCGGCATCTCCTTCCCTGGGAAACCAAGGAAAGGCACCAACCGGCTTCTCCAAGTATTCCCGGGCAGCAGAGGAGCCTGGCCCTGGCGTAGCGCAAGCCACTCTGCAACCCACACAGGGCAAAAAATGCAAAGGGGAAAACAGAGGACAAGGCTGAAAACCACCGAGCCACAGAGCCTTCTGGAGAGACTGGACAGCGAGCACCGGGGGGGGCCTGGGGGCAGAGAGCATGCCGACGGATGGAACACAGGAAGGGTCCAGGGAGGGCCAAACGACCCAAAGAAGGCAGGGGACGGTGTCTGGATCAATCCCTTTCCATGCGCGCACCCTGCACCCCAGGCATGCTTTGCTAGCCCTTCCCACCCTCACAACTCTGAGGAATGGAGGGCTCGCCCAGGTTCCCGCTTTGCAGGCTGGGCTCTGAGAAGCACATCTGCCCAGAAGGCAATGAAGACAAGCCGAGGAGGGAGCCCTAAGGCCGACCCCCCCCCCAAAAAAACTTCAGCCAAGAGCACTGTTATTCTCCCCGCTAAAGGACGACAGCCCGTGGGCTCAGACGCTCCACCCCTCGCAAGCCACCCAGAGCAGGGCCACTGAACACACGCGGGTGCTGCTGGGCGAAGCGGCTGCCCTGACCACCGGCTCACCTTCCGCTCACCACGCTCTCCCTCCCTCGGGTTCTGCCATGCACGAGACAAAGCGCATGGTGCCTTCCTATTATCGCAGGATGGGCCACGAAACACCCTTCTGAGTGCAAAGCACCCGGGGCGCCCTACCAACCCCGTGGCACGCACGCGGACCGCCGACTCCACCTTTTTGACCGCAACTGCCGTGTGACGTCTCGGCCCTCCCCGCCGGCGCCAAAACCAAATGCTAAACGCCCAAATGGAAAGGCGGGTGCTCACTGTGAAAGGCAGGATCGGCAAAAAGCAGTGACCCTGGGTGGCTTCGGGGGGGTGGGGGAGAATATGAGGCCTTTCCCCCCAGATGAACTGGAACAAACCATATGGATACAGAAGATACAGAAACCGGGGACGCCAGCTTCTTTATTTCTACATTTCACTCCCTTCCATGACAGGAAGTCCCAGCCTCCATGGGTGAATTGGGAACAAGGCTTCTAACATGGCCTCCAAGCCCCCTGAGGTAAAGCGGGAGATCCAGCGCCCAGGAAAGAAGGGGGAAAACCTGGAATGGCTGCTGCCTGAGACCATTTTCCTCAGATGCTGATGCCGTTCTAGCCTCTGTTCTGACCTAGGACGGTCCGGTCAGTCGAAACCCTGCTCAGCTCCTGCAAGCTCAACCCTGTGGCTTCCTTGAGGGAGTCCATCCATCTCATACGGGGTCTTCCCTCTTCTCCTGCTGCCTTCCACCTTTCCCAGCATAATCCTCTTTTCCAGAGAGTCCTGCCTTCTCACGATTTGTGCCCAAAGCACAGTGGGCCATTTCACCTTGTCAGCTTTTAAGAGAGAGTCCAGGGCTTGATTTAATCTAGGAACAGTATCGTAGTCTTACCAGAGTAGAGTGTCCTGGAAAAAGTTTTCCTCCCGCACCCCATTTCAAACGAATCCATTTTCCCCCCTTATTAGCTTTCACACCCATACACGGTGATCAGAAATGCAAGAGTGTGGACGGCCTCGGTCTCCGTCTCCAGGGACGCATCCTCACCCTTGACGACCTTTTCTAGTTCCCTCCCTGCCGCCCTTCCCGGCCTCCGTCTCCTCCTGATGTCTTGGCTGCCGTCTCCCAGTTTGGACCAAGGTGTGCAAAGTCCTTCACTATCCTAACGTCCTCACTGTTAACGCTAAAGTTGTGTTGGTCGCGCGCGGCCGTGATGTTTGCCTTCTTATTGCCCAACAGACAATGAACATCAAACAGAGCTGCTGCCCCAGGAGTTGTGAGGAAGCCAGGTCTGATCTCAACCTAGAGGGGTTTTTTTCCCAACAGGCAAAAACTTTTCTCGAGGCTCCCCATTCCCCTGTGGAGGACGCAAGGGCACCCGCAGAAGCCGTCTCAGGGCTGAGCCCACAAGCGCTGGGTTGGAGGCTTTCCACATCATTTCAGTGAGCAATCACCCAGGACACAACAACAGCATCAGCTCGCAATACACTGCACAAAACACACAAAGGCAGCAAAGCAGGTCCTGGGCCAGTAGCTGCACAGGGCGCCCCACCCAGATGCCTCCGGCTGCTCCAAGGCCTAAGAATCACAGCATGCGGGGGGGGGGGCACAGACTAATTTTTTTTCCAGAGAGGCTTCCTCCAGGGTTGTTCCCCCAGCTACACCATGGGAGGCCCTGGCCATTCTGCCCAAGAGAAATCACACACACACACACAAAGAGAGAGGCTGGCCACATCAACCTAACCCACACCTGGGGTAATCCCCGCCGGACCAGGGCATTCCCACCTAGCCCAAGTACGCTGCTTCTGCCACAGGGCGGAGGCGTGCGTGGGGGGCTGGGCAAGGAAACCTCCCCAACCTTCTGGCCAGAGTCCCCTTTGGCTGGTGCAGACGGGAGTATCTGTGTCGCTCTCGTGACGAGAGGGGCCCTCTGCACACGGGATCTCAGTCCCGACCCCTGCAGCGAGGGCAAGGGTGCAAGAGGTAAAGCCAACTCAGTGAATGCCTTCCCTGGAATACCTTCTACTATGCTTAGTGCTTCTGATGCCAAAGAGGCATGTAGTTAGACATTCACAAGCAAAAACGGGGACCTTCTCCTCGAGGGCCCACGAAAGGGTTTCTGTTCCAAACAAGGTTCGTGCCAAGCCAGCATGCTTGGATCCGCTCACCCTGCGCTCAGGAGGCAGGAGGGCCTGCAGACCTGAATTCACCGCAGGCAGCCAGAAGCGCTGGCCCGGACTGACCCTCTCCTTGCCTTCCCCCCCCCCAATTTCCCTCGCCCTTGACCCTGCCCTGTCTTCCTTAGTGGGAGAAGGCAGTTACCCTTCTCTCTTTCTCTCTCCGCCACAGGTCAGCATTTCTCTCCCCCTGCAACGTGGTGGGCCTGCCGCTTGCTCGTTTTTCCTTCTGCTCCAGAACAGAAAGGGGCCATTTACCAATTAAAAGTCCACCTGACCGACTGAGGAAGAGGCAGCCATTCTGTGTTTCTGCACGGACAAGCAGGCTCAGGTCACCAATCTCTGCCCTGCCTGAGATACAAACGGAGAGGTGAAGATGATAAAAACGGCTGAAGCTCCTCCTGCCAACCAGCTGCATTTCAGAAAGGTTAGGACTGATTCCACGGGAACAACCGATGGCTTGAGACAAGTACAACCTAATACCCTGCACAGAAGCGGCCTGGCAGGGGTCCCTGACAGCTTCTTGCCCTGCATGGACTCCAGAAGCCAACGCCATTGAGTGTCCCATGGGTGAGGGGAAGGGGCTCATCCATCCACTCTCCCCCTCCTGGGCTTCCAGACTCTGGGCCTGCCGCCCACCTTTTCCAAGACCACCTTTTCCAAGACCGCTCCTCTGTCCTTGGGGGTGAACGAGAGTAATTTCTCCTCCGTCTACACAAGCTCAGTGGCTGAAATGCAAACAAAGCTTCACACTTTACTCCACTAACAAACCCGGTACAATAAGCATGACATCACGGCTTAATGAATACCTGGAAACTTTACAAGCAGACCAGCTCCATTTTAACAAAGCTCTCTCCTCGCCAGCCATGTTATCATTTCCCATCTTAGGTTTTCTGGTATAATGCGGGCTTTTGTTTCAGAGTTTAGGCTTAAGGAAGACCATTGTATCTAGCAAAGCACCAAATGAAGCGGTATTTACATTTTAAAAAACTGCATTCTTCATGTAATTTCTGTGCCGAACAAAAGCCAGGCATCAAACCCGAAAGGCCCGTGGTCCAGGCGACTGCCGGCGCCCCCGCTGACGATCCAGCAGGAGACACGTCGTGTGTGCGTGTAACAATGCGAGCCCTCCTGCTAATGGGTCCTCTTGGGCTCCGTGGGTCTGGCCTGCATGTGAGCAAGGCGCAGCTGAGGACAGAGCGGATCACACAGAGAGCGCAGAGAGACCCGGGGCAGGGCGTCCGGCCCCCGCCCTACGCCTCCCAGAAGTCTTCCACCGTTTCCTCCCGCCTTCTCTCCCCACATGCCTTCCAGCACTTACAACGGATGCCATGTTCCCGTCCAGAGACACACACACACACCCCTGTGCGCTTCTGCCCTATGCCGGTCGCTGCCACAGGGACCCCCGCGCCGGCCCTTCTGCCGGACACAACCAGAGCGGCTGCAGCAGCCAAGGGGAAGGCGGCCCTGGAGGTCTCCGCCATGCAGACTGGGAACCACGTCCGGCTCACCTCCACGCTGCGAAGCGTGGGGGCTCCGACTCTGCCCTCTCCCGGGAGTGGGGGGGGGCGACACTCACCCGGAGGCCTGAGCCATCAGAGCTCGGTCGGTCGCAGGAAGGCACCCAAGAGGAGGCCCTTTTCAGCAGGAAGAAAACCCTGCCCGTCCTCATCATCATTCCTGGGCAGGTTCAACTCAAGGTCAAGCAGCACTTGGCACTTCTGAATCAGAGGAATCCAGCAAACTTTGATCCCCGGAAGTTATTTAATAACTTAAGCCTTCGCCCAGCACTTTCA